TAGCACATGGTGTTGGAGCAGGGGCTGTCAGATATGCCTCTACCCCAGTTTATACTTCTTACATACAAAATAATATACATATAAAAATAGATATCAATATATTATATATTTCTCATATATGTATTTTCAGCAAGGCTTCTGGAGCTCCTGCAGACTGCTACAAATTTTGAAACTTACCCAATTTTTTTACAAAAACCCCATAATTTTGCAGTGGCAGAGATGGCAGTGGATTAAGAATGATTCATGTTTCTAAAACCCCACTCTACCCAGATCCTAAGCAGCAGCAAATCTTGAGTGAATTGAGAATAGCAGGGACTGTTGTGATGTTGGCTGGCAGTGGGTTAATACTTGGATCTGTTTATCAGTGTCATTGTTGGGCTGCTCTAATCTGGGCTGCTGAGGAAAGCTCACACTGAAAACCAGCACATCATTTTGGCTGTCTGTAAATCTTCTTTTAACATTTATTTAGAAGTACATTGCAGATAGATGGACCTTACAATGAGGCGTTCTATGAGAAGCTGCTGGACCTTTCCCTGGAAGATGATGGGACAGTGGCATTTGCATTAACAAAGGTACTTCTCAACCTCTGACATTTTTTGGTCTGTCAGTGTTAATTAACTTCTGTCTCACTGAAAGGGCTGGATAAGGGATGGAGGCAGCACTGCTGGTTTGTTGGGGTCTGTGCAGTTAAAGTGCTTCATTGCAGTTAAAGGGTTCATCTTTATAGCAGAAGCAGTTAAAAACAAACTTGTAGCACCAGTTCCTGAGAGAAAAATAAAACTGTTTATTTACTTTTTAAACTGAGGAAGCATTTGCAGGAACTGGTGCTGTTTGGCCTTTAGGAGCATGATCTGCAGGAAATAAACCTGACTGTTATACAGGATGCTGCAAAAGCACCTGCTCCTGCCAACCTTCTGTTCCAGAGGGAATTTCCTGCTCTTAAAGTGCCAACATACCAAGACAGGGAGTGCAGTGCTGCTTTTTGTAAGGAACAGGATGCTTTACTCAGGAAAACAGCAATCTAAGAGAAAATGTGTGTTATTTCTGTTGTACAGGTGCAGCAGTACAGAATAGCAATGACTGCTAAAGACTGCTCCATCATGATTGCCCTTTCCCCCTGCCTGCAAGATGAATGGTAAGAGCTGCCTGTACCTGCTTTGGAATGGCTCCAGTTGTTTAGAAATGGGGATGTTTGTACTGCTCAGGCAATTCAATCACTTCAGAAAAGTGTGGGATGTGTGTGGGGGGTGGTGTGTCCAAATATTTGGCTGTGAGCATTTTAGTATAGTTCTGATTTAAGACATTTATGACCAATGTCTCTTTCTAAAGAGTTTTTAAGTTGATCAAAAGGATCAAAGTTTTGTATTTATTCCCTTCTTAAACTTTGAATTGACTGTTCATAGTAGCTCTGGATGGTTTTAACTAGGTACAGTTTTTCTGCCTTGGTGTTCTCATAGGAGAGATTTTTCAAGCTGAGTTGCCTTTAATGGCCTAGATAGAACAAAACCAAGGCAATAATCAAGAGGTGACAGCTTTGGCTGTCAGGCAGGAGGCTTTGCCACAATACTGCCCCTTTTGGTTTGTGTCAGCACTGCTAATCTGTTCTTCAGCAGGGGGCTTTGCTTCAGCAGAGCCCTTTTATTTTTAGAGAATGCTGTTTTCTGCATTTGTCCTGCAGTTCTCCAGAGCAGTGTTAGTGATGGACATGACTTGTGCAATGGCTGACTTCAGAACTGCTCCATCCCTCAGCAGGCTTGGACAGCACACTGAATGTTTTATTACCTTGAGCCTCAGAAGGAGTTGCAATCCCTTTTCTGCTTTTGCTGTTAATGAGGCTGTTGCTTTGTATGCACCACCTAGAAACAGCTTAGATTTGCTAAATACAGTAAATGAGAGCAATGTTTGCCTTCAGCTGTGTGGGAGCTGAAAGGAAAATGAAGAGGTGCCAGCAAGGTCCATCAGGACTGGTAAAGCTGGAGTTTCCTAAGTGCTACATTAGCTGCAGTTTATTTTCTTGGGCTCCCACAAAAGTTCTAAGATAAACATTAGAGTCACTTCTGTAAAGGGACACATAAATTACAAGTACTGGTTTCAGTGACTCAGATGTGGTTTTATTTTCCAGCTCTGAGCAAAGACCTGTGGTACTGACATCCAAATCCAGATTCACCTTCTCTGTTTCTGTGCTGGACCTGGACCTGAAGCCCTATGAAAGCATCCCCCACCAGTACAAACTCGATGGAGAAATAGTCAATTATTACCTGAAAAATGTACAGGCCAAAGAGGACCCAGTTATGTCCAACCTCTTCAAGGAGAATGAAGACTGCACATTAGTTCTCCATAAAGTGTAACCGTTCCCTTAAGGTTATTTTTATTCAAACACATGAGAAAGTGAAAGATTATTGGAATACAGTTATGGTGATTTTTTTTCCCCCTTTTCTGTTGTGTTCAGTGCATTTTTCAGCTGTGAATGTTTTTGCTTTATGAAATGATTTCTAATGGGTAATGCCTTCTCAGAGAGCTGGGATAGCACTAAGCCACATGTTTGCTAGATAACCTTAATGAATGTATTTAATGTGACAGAACAGGTAATGTGCCATACCTTGGAACTAGAGGACAGATCAAATTAATATGGAAAGTCTACTTCCTTAGAATTGAAAGAGCACAGAATGAAAGGTTTCCTCAAGTATTGCACTAACATAGAAAGCCTAATTACTAACAAGAGAATTACCTTGGAGCCTGTGCTTTGAGTGTCCCTCATCCCCACTAAAGGAGGGAATGCTCTGGCACAACCTGTACAACACTTTAGCATTAATCCACTGGAAATGCAGCCATGCAGAGGCTGCTCTGGAACTGCCCTGGCACTGCAGAACATTTCAGTACTAATGCATGCACTAGGAGCACCAGGCTGCCTCCAGGAGCTGTGTGATCACCTTGTATCGACCTAAAGCTTCTGAAACAAAGTGCAAAGGGTTAAGGTAAGCAACCTTGAGTTTTACATGATAGTTGGGCTTAACTCACCTGCCATGCTGGTTTTTATTGTCTCTCTACATGATATGCTGCTATTGGAGGTGAAACCACAGCTTGCTCTTGCCTGATTTAAATTGAGCTCTAAGAAGAATATGTTCTGAGTTTTACAGGTCATTTCAGGTCCTTCAGGTTGTGTCAAACATTGGCACTATTACACTGATGCCCCACACACTGCCTAGCCTGAGCAGCTGCTTTTAGGCTCCTTTGCTGGAGTGACACAGGAAAAAGGTGACAGAACCCCATTTTCTTCCCTGCAGTGGGTCAGTCTTGTGCCAGGGTGAGCAGATGAGCAGTGCTCTGTGCAGCTCAAGGCTGGGGAGCTGCTGCAGCAAAGCCATCCTTGGGGCAGATCCTGAGCTGGAACTGAAGGGTAGGTCCAAACCTGAGCGTGCAATGATAAAATCTGCAGCTCTGTTTTCCTCAAGGATCACAGCCCCAGTGAACAACTCTTACCTGGACACAACCTGTGCTTACCAGTAATGGTGTTCAGGGTCCTAAAAACAGATTTATGTTGGGATCCAACTGTAACCTTTGAATTGTTCCACTTTACCTGAAATTCAAAAATAGGATCCCCTGGACCTTGGCACAACTCAAGGAAGAAAAGTGGAACACAGAGCCACCACTGTCCCTGTGCCAGAGAGCTGAGCTGGCAGTGCTGGCACCCAGTGCCAGGAGCCCTTCTGGGGCAGGGCCTGAGCTGTGAGACTCCAGCAGTGCAATGAGCAGGAATAACCCCTTCTTCCCAAAGGAAACCTGGAGGAGGAGAGCTCCTTACAAATCCAGAAAGCCTCCAGCTATTAGAAAGAGGAGGAAGGAAGGACCCTGCACAGCTGGGAAGTTTCCAGGTTTTTGTGCTGTAACTTTACACACAATTCATATGCAAACAGCAGTGTCTGTGCTGAGCAAACAGTTTCATTTTCAGGTGAGGAGGAGGGAGCTAAAGATGAACTGAAGGTTACACAAACCTGGCTCAACCAGTTCCATGGCAGTGGAGAAGCAGGAAGGAATTTTGCCTGAGTACTGGATTCCAAACTTGAAATGATCCTGCCCTATCTGACAAGATAGAGCTGCCATTCATCCAAGCCCCATCTCTGGTGTTGATCTGGTCTGTCAGTTCCTCCTAACCTACTAGAACAGTGGGACACCATTTCAGTGATCAAATAGTGGATGATTACATTTATGGGATTAGAAACACACTGTTGCTTTAGTTCAGACTTCACCTCTTTCCCCACTGCTGCATGGGGTGGGTGGTTGTGCTCCAGCAGCTCTGGCCTTGGAAAGGAGGGCCCAGAGCTGCTGGGTTTGGGCTCTTGTTCCAGAAACTGTTCCTCCCCACCTGAGAAGTTCCTGACTTCAGTCACATCACTCTGGCTGGGTGCAGTGCTAGTGCAGAGCAGGAACTCCTGCAAACACTCAGAGTTCCCAGATGGGCTCATGGCACTTCTGATGGACGTGAAGGGAGAGGCATTTGTCTGATCTGTTTTATTTCTTCAGGGGTGAATGTGTGAGAGGTGATGCTTTGGTAATGTGTTGTCAGGATTTCCTCCTGCAATCAGAGATGCAAAGGAAGGGCTGCAGGGGGCAGGGGGTGACTGGCTCACCTGTTCCCAGGGCTGGCATGGGCCCCTCTGGGTTAGATTAATGCTGTCTCAACACACATTGTGGAACAAAGTTACTTCATACAGTTACCTTCAGGTTTTTTAGCATTGTATGTCTTTGAAATCTTCAAATTGTCTTCTTCCACCCTAATTTAATGAGAAAGCTGTTTAACTCTTTGTTCTAGGAGTCTCTTACTGTTCTTTTGTCATTTTAAAATCACTGTACTTTTACAGAGCTGTGAAATGAATTGGATTTTTATGGACTTGATTTTGACAGTGCATGATCTTTTAACAATTTCCAGGTATCTAGAAAATGTTAAGAAGATAAACCACTCTGGTACATTAATGATTCAGAAAGATAAATTTATAATGAAATCACTCTGTACATGTAACTATTTTATTTGGCATTTTTGTATTTAAATGGCTGTATTTATTTTATGTCATGACAATTTATATATAACGTGCCATAATTGTACAGATAGCATGTTTTATGAGTATGGTTTCTAAATGGAAAGTAACTTAATGTTTATATTCAATAAAATTACAGACCGTGTAACACAATATCTTAATTAAAGCTACTTTTGAAATTGCTACCTGGTGTAAGCAGTGCTGGCCCTCACTGTCCTGAGCCCAGCACTCGGATCAGGTTCTCCACGGCCGCCTCGATGCCGAGGAGCCGGAGCGCGCTGCGGAAGCTGCCGGGGATGCTCCCCACGCTCCTCATGCTCTGCTGCAGCACTGCAGGACAAACACAGCACGGCAGGTTATGGCAGACAGGCTTTGTGAGCCCCTGCAGATTGCACAGGAGGTGAACTGTGCTGAATTGGGGTGGGTTTGTGTGGCTGGGCTCTGGCAGCTGGAGTTCCATGGCCAAATCCAGGGCCTGGCACTTCAGGGACAGTCTCTGAAGTGATTTGGATTACCTTGCTCTGGTACTTTGGGCAGCAGGTCCAGGACAGGTGTAGTGGTCCCTTCTTCATCAAGATGGATCTTCCAGACGATCACCAGTTCAAACCTGTAGCAGGTGCACAGCAAGGGCAGCTCAGGTTAACCAGGTGCTGCTTTGAGGCTCCTTCAAAGCCAAAAGTGCAGCAGTCACGGGGCTCAGCCTTGTGCTCTGCAACAAAATCCACCTCACATAATGCCACAAACCATCTCTGGATTTGGGAAGCAGGAACACATCAATGCAATTGACAAGGAAAGGCTCTGGCTACGTCCAGATTTGCACAGGGCAGTAAAAGTGAGAGGAAAGCAAAGGAGAGAGAGCACTGAGTGTCCCCTAGCTCTACCCCTCATGTAATATCTACACTCAGAGCAGGTGCTGAGAACAGGAAACTTGTTTCAGAAGTGCTGGCATAAATGGTGATGTGCTGGGTTTGGAATAAGGGCTACCCTGCTATTCATGGCCTTGTTAGCCTAATGGCAGGTAGACATCTGTCCAAGGCCTACATTTCTGCACTTCTTTGCTTTTAATTAAAAAGAAAATAAAGCTGAACAACATCATTACTTCTTCAGGATAGTGTTGGTTGTGCAAGGCCAGCCATGATTCCCAGCTGTCACAGTGGGATGGGATCCCTGCACCATCCCAAGGGAATGGTGAGGCAGGAGCTGAGTCCAGAACAGCACCCACAGCAGAGCTGCTGCTTTACAGCTCCCTTTGTTCCCTCCAACCCTCACCTCCCTTACTGGAGGAAAGGCTTTCCCAATCCAAAGCTGTCTGCACAGTGAGTCACTGTGAGGAGCAAGGTCCCTTTCTCAACCCATCATGACTCTAAGAGTTTCCTTCCAATGTGATTTGTCAGCCTTTTGCCACTTCATTTTTACAAATCCTTTGGGAATTTGTGCACAGCTTGTTCTGGGATTTGGCAAACAAATTTCTATGCCAGTCTGGTTTCTACCAAGCCACTGAAATGACTTTTACATCGCTGTGTTTCATGACTGTGGGTGAGAGGGAATGAGGGTAATGGGACTGGCACCTGGCACTAGAGGAGAAACTGTAAAATAAAGCAAGTTCTACCCTATGTGGGATAGTTTAAGAACAATTCATTCCTGCACCCCCAAGTTAAAGCATTTAGTTTTAAAGGGCAAGTTTGGCTGAATGAAGCAGCATCATCTATTAGGGTTTGTTTGCTAATTCTACACACAAACAAAATGAAGGGAGCTGTGCCTTATCTCCATGTAAATGAAAGCCTGTTAAAGCAAGGTGTAACAGGAGAAGGGAATGGTCTGATCCTGTCACAAAGTAGTTACTTCTCATGACACTGACACTGATAGTTAGACCATTTAACTGTAAGGATTTTTTTCCCCTGCTGAAAATCCCAAATGAATATCTCTCATGGGGAGGCCAAATAAATCCCATGTACCTGGTAGTTAATAATTCCTTATCTAACTGATTCCCTTCTAAAACAATGGAAAAGTGGAGCCACAGCTGCTTTGCTTCCATTGCACAGTAAATGCTCTTTTCCTTCTGTTCTTGAATGCCAAGACACCAAGGCAATGGTGAGGAACTGGGCTTTGCTGGGATGGGATGGGATCCCTGCACCTCCTGCCACAGCTACAGCACAAGGCTGCTGCCCTGCCTGTGCAGTCCCTCACCTGTGTAAATACAGAAATGCATTTATGGGCTTACCCAGGAATTTTGGGGTTCCTTAGAATTATAAAATCTCCCAGCAGTCCTTCTGGAAGCGTCACAATGTCAGGATACTTGGCCTGTGAACAAAAAAGTTCAATTGATTAATAAAAATCACAGCAGATAAGGTGGTTCCTACCCAGTCACAGAGGATTGCACTAAGTTAAGAGTAACAATATTCATTCTCTGAAATTCTGACCTGTTGGTTTCTTTTTTTTTTAAAGATCCTTACATAAAACCCAGGAAATCGTGAAAGAAAATGTTTATTTTAACTAAATTTGTTAATTGGATTTAATAACAGTTTATAATACATCACCATGTCACCCCCTGCCTCTGTGAGTGATGACAGGTCACTGGTATACTCTGCTTTGAGATGGATACCAAACTTTGAAAGAGTAATTGAGCCAATGAAATACCAAAATAACCAATGTTAGCAACAAATGGGACAACAGCAACATGATCAAACATAAAAGTACTGGCCCCTATTAAAATTCCATGTTTCTGGGAATTATTTTCAGTTACTACAATGTGCAAAGGTTGATGGTTGCTCCATTACTTTGTTAGTCCATCTCATGTGTTCCACATGTCTTGTGAAAGCCCCAGAAGTTCAGAGCTCTTTCAAAAGCACTCCCAGCTCTGCATGGGTGCTGCAGGTGCCTGGCTGATGAGGTACCCAGAGAATGGGGCATGCCCAGACCCCCAGCACCAAGGAACAGCACCCTGCAGGGTCTGCTGCTGGAAAAGGAAGCAGAACGGAGCCACAGACTGCAGGGCTGTGCTGTTGTCCTGCCTCGTGTGCTGGACACAAAGCTGTGTTCCAAACCTTGCAGTTTATAAAGTGTGAAAAGTCTCAGCCTGAATCATTGCACAGAGCTCCCAGCACAAGCAGCAGCTCTTATGGAAAGGAAGCAGGAGAGCTCAGCTTGGAGCAGCACTGGAGAAAATGAGTTTGGTTTTATGGGATTACGCCTCATCTGGCAGAGCAAAATTGCTACCAGATGTGACCTTGCTCTGGTTTAGGAATTTCTGACAAACTGAAGGGGGCTGTGCAGGATGCCAAATGACATACAGCACATGGAATTTGCTCATTTTCATTTCTGCCCAGGATCCAGTACTGTATTGACTGTGGGGATAACAACCATGGTCTATGCTGGGAACTCAGACACCGAAGGGAGGACACTGAGCAGGGCAGTTCCAGGGTCAGAAGTGTGGCTGATCAAGGGTCACTCAGCCAGCACAGCAGGGATCCTCTTCCAGCTTTACTCCCTGTTATCAAATTAAGCCCATTTGATAACAAAACAACTTTTCCAGGCTTTCCTCCTCAATAACGCAAGCCTGATTTCCACCATGAGCCTCTCCTTGCCTGGTGTCAGAGGCCTGGGAGGATCCAGGGATCCTTTAGCTCCAAGCTGTAGATACTGGAAATGCAGGATTAGCTTCTACCTGGGACTCAGCTTGTGCATCCCTCATTGACAAGGGATCTGAGTATCCCATAGCTGAACACCGAGTCACACTTCACCCACCCACACCCAGACATTGGCAACCAGCACAGAAAACAGAGCAGAGGAACCACATAAGAGCTACAATGGCCAAAGCAAAATTAAATCCTTCCAGGGCTGTCTCAGGAGTTCCTGTGCAGCTGACACATTCCCCCAAAGCTTGGGGGGGAATATTTATGTTCTATAGAGGCCAGAGGCAACTCAAGGAAAGCGCAGTGCATGATTTTCTGTGGCAGAGCTTCCCTGTACCTGGGAGAGGGAGCTCAGTGTGTTCTGCACACAGCCAGGGCCGTTCTGTGCCTTCCCTCAGTGCCGGGGTTCTGGCAACCAACCTGAACGCTGTAGAAGCCAATCCTGTGCGAAATTCACAGCATTTGGGATAAAATCCAGCTTTTCAGTGGGAAAGGTCATATTTTAGCTATCCACAAAACACACAAAAAGCCAAACCACAAATACCTACATGCCTGTTTGCTGTAACCCAGCCCTGGCAGTGGTGAGGCAGCCCCAGATCCGTGCGAGGATCCCGCTGCCATTCCCACCTTCCACCAACACCCACGGGGGCAGGAGCAAAGCACCACACCCAGCTCCAAGCAGCACCTCAAACACTGACAGCTCCAGGAATGAACTCTGGGAAATGCAGTCACACAATCTGCCTCTAACTCCACACAGAAAATACTGAGTACAGGCTCTGGATACCACAGATAAAAATGTGGGGATCTGAGCAGCCAGGCACAGGGTGGGCATGGGCAGATCCCCAATCCCAAACACTCCCTGGGTATCACATCACCACCTCTTCTTCTCTGCTGAGCAACTTTCCAAGTTTTCCTTGAGGAAAAGAAAAGCTGAGCAATAAAACCAGAGTAACAGAATGAGCTGAGCCACTGAAAGGTCTCTTGGGAAAGTCAGGAGCTCCTGAGGGACCTCGTAAACCAGGGAAAGAGATCCCATCAAAGATGTGATAGCAGATGGGAAGGATCAGCTCAACTGCATCAAGCAAAACCTGACTTTCATCAAGAAATATCTTTCCTCAGATGACTCTTAAATGTCAGCTTATGATCAAAACCAAAAGTCCAAGCTATTATTATTCCTAGACGGAAATTGCTTTTCCAGCTCCTCCAGGAGTCCAAGCAGGGAATCTTATGGGAACTTTTGTCTCAAACCACAAAGGGACCGTGGTGATGGAATGCACAGCTTTGCCCTGCTCCCATGACAGATTTTACACACACACCAAGACATCCCAGGGAATACACTTGCAGCAGCTATTTCTCAACAACATTCTGCAGCTGCACTGCAATTTTCTGCACACAAAATCTCTGCTAAGGAAAATGTCATAAATGCGTTCAGCTTAAAAGCTGTAGCTACAAATACAAAGCAAAACTGGCAAGAGAGATGCCAGATAAAAGCAGATAAATTGCTTCTGTCCCACTTAGCAAGAAAACACACAACTGCTCCCAGCTGGACCAACAGCTCCCTTTTACTGGTAATTCTGAACTTGCTGTTCTGGCAGGAGGATGTATATAAAGAGTTACGGTATCAGAGTTCCTCTATAGAGAGAAACAATTTCTAAACCTGCCCAGGAGGCTCTGACTGGGCTCTGATTTGGGTGATTTCTCTGTATGGTTTGCTCAGCTAAGGCCACGTTATCACCCCCTGAAATCACACAAGACTGGGAGCACCAAGACTTGAAATCCCAACACAGCCATAACACCAGCAATTTTTAAATGAATTTCACTGATGCAATAAAGGCACATTTAAAAAGTGGAAATTTCTTACTTTGTGCAAGTAAAGGAACTGTAACCAAGAACCCTTCAACTAAATTACACCCCATAGAAACATTGTATGGATTGGACTGGATTGATGAAGCTTCACCACTCGTAATTAAGTCTCAGAATAAATACAGCTCCCCTCTTCCCATCTTGAGGGAAAGTTCCTCAAGCAAACCAGTCCTGTTGGTGATCCCTGAGCTGCCAACCACCCAAACCTCCGGCGCCGGCGGAACCAAGGACGAGACGGGCACGAGGGCAAAGTGGTTTTGTCCAAAATGATAAAGTGTTTTTGTCCAAAATGATAAAGTGGCTTTGTCTAAAATGATAAAGTGGTTTTGTCCCCGTGGCAGTCCCAGCCCACCCCCATCCTCAGCCAGGCTCAGCCCTCTGCTTTTAAAACTAAAATCACAAGTGACACGACCAGCATGCAAGTCTCACTTTTTAGAAGAGGAAAGGAGAATTCTGGGAGCAGATTTGAGGGCCTATAAAGAAGGTCTGACAATGGCAGGTAGTGACAGGAGAGCAGGGAAGTGCATCCCCCTACCAAAGGGCAGGGATAGATGGGGCATTGGGAAGGAATCATTCCCTGTGAGGGTGGGGAGCCCCTGGCACAGGGTGCCCAGAGCAGCTGTGGCTTCCTGGCAGTGCCCAAGGCCAGGCTGGATGGGGTTGGAGCACCCTGGGACAGTGGGATGAGAGGATCTTTAAAGGTCCCTTCCAACCCCAGCCATCCTGGGATTCTATAATAACAGTCTGAATGCCACCCTGGACAGGGCAAATCTGTGCAAACATTGACCAGAATCTCTCCCAGGTTCAGGACACGTCTGGCTCCCTCCTGCAGCACAGACACAGCTGGTTGGTTACTGGGATAAAAACTGCTCTGCACCCCTCTGGTTCAGACCTGCCCAGATCTGTGATTTGAGTCCTTGGTCCCTTTGCCAAGATCCAATCTTGCAGCTGCCTCCTGTAGACCAGCCCTGCACAGGTACCTGAAAGCACTGAGCAGCAGCCCCAAATCTAGGGTGATAAAACACAAACAAATCCACGTCCCCACAGGGACTGGAGGGTTTTCTCAAAATCTCAGAGGTGAAGGATGGGTCCTGGTGTGAAAATAAAACATTGCTCAGTTCTGTTTCAGTCTCTGTGCAATATTGCATAGGGAAATGGAAGATATCAGCAATTAGGAATCAATCAGATAATCCACATAAACAGTAACACATCTGAAATCATACAAATTACCAAGCACTACAACACTGAACTGTCAATTCAGAGTCTGCAACAGCTGATAAACCTTAAAAGAACAGAAAAGTGGAGAATTCATGTCACACTAGGGCCTGTGCTCATTGCCAGTGAAATCCCTCTGCTTTGTCCTTTCCTTTCCTTTCTTCTTGATTACAGCCTCTTTTTTTTGGCCCCTGCTCTATTTCCATTGCCATTTATTTTCCTCCTTCCATATTTCCATAACATTATTATTTTTCATGCTTGAATCCCCTGAGTTTACATGATTCAGTTTGTCACTATGCTCACAATGTGACCAATAATTTTCCATAATTTTTGTATTTTTCCTAATTGGATCTAGGCTGTAGGTCTACAGAAGAGCCAACCCAGCATAACCAAGGCCTGAGTACACAAAATTCTGTGTCTCATTTCCTTTCAATATCACTTTGTCATATGGCAACCATGTGTTTATCTGCAACTTAATTACAGCAGACTGGGAATAAATTAGAATACATACTGGAGGTTTATTTTTGTGAGGAAAAATAGAATTAAATGAACATGAAACCTCAGGAAGAACAGGAAGGGGTAGATAATAAA